TCTATGCTTTTATGAAGTTCTCTCCCATTTCATGACAATGGATTTCCAGCACCTTCAGTACCTGAACCCATGCTGTGCTCTGAGCTGGCACCTCTGTTGATCTTTTGATACCTGTCAAGAATATGCAAAACCTCAGTTCTCTGCTTTAGGATGAGATTAGTGACAGCTCAAATACAACATAATCCTTGTATAAACGAAGCATCACATAAAAGGCATTTGGAAATATACTACTGGGAAAAAAAATACTCCAGGGATAAAAGATTTTGGTTTTCTTTTTATTTTTGCATTTGTCCATTTGCATTTTGCATTTGTTAATATAATTTTTAAATTATATTAACAATAAATCTGTACTTCCCTCCTGTCTTTGAGGGCTTTTATTTTAATTCTCTAGTTTTAAGTGCTGCTTAAGTATTTGCTTACCATTGGATTTTGAGACCTTCTGTTGACAAACTCCTTAAAATTTTCTCTGCTCCCTTTGATAGCATAAATGCTTGTTTATTTATGCACCAACATATATTTTGTACTGTTGCAATACTTCACAAGGGCTTCTAACACACTATGAATAAAAATTTTATATACTACTTCAGTGCTTTGTTCCATGGTAGTTCAGTATATCAGAGGAAGATATATTTAATGTTTGCAGTTTCTCACTATGACGTATTATGCTATTACTGACAAATTGATCCTCTATTTAGCATTAATCAAAATATTCAGCTGAATGACAAAATGTGAGTATTTACAGCGGCTTCCGTTTTTTTCAATTTTTTTCTACAAATATTTAATTTTTAACTGGGCATATGGCTGAAAACTGCAGGAATACATGTCTCTTCCCTTGAATCACATCCAAAGATCAGGTCAAACAAATGGTTACTCTAAATTCTGCATATTATGTTTAACCATTCCTCAGAAAAGATCAAAGGCAGTTTTGTCAAACACAATGTGGGAATTTGCTCATTTGAACACTTCAGTACATTTAGTCTTCTAATCCAAACAGAGAACTACCTTTCCAAACAAGGATATAAACTGAAGTCAGTACTTCAAAGCTTAGAAAAACTCATTAGCTTTATACATATATTAACAGAAAGAGCTACTTAAAATAGTACAAAAACCATGGTACTTATATGAATATGATTTTATGACCACATCTCTGAACCACACTAATAAAGTGTATGAATGAGGCAGGTGCTGATGCATTTAGTACACTCACTTGTGAGATTTTCCACATACATGTGCTGTTTAATACCCTGCATGTCTAGAAACATGTTGCTCAGGGAAGATTTTATTATTGATATGAATATTCACTGCAAAGAAAGAACCAAATGAGTACCAAATTTCCTCTACCTACTGTTAGGTAGGTAATCACACTAATTAATTGGAAGTGTGTTGTTTCCTAACTGAACCAATTATGCAGAAAAGGCTGCCTGAGGTTGAGCTAAGCACCCTCGTATTAGCACAGTTACAGTGCAAATGACAGGAAAAGAGAGAAGAGTGCACTGAAAAGCAAAACATTATGCTATTTATAACTGTGCATTAAAAAGGGACTGTGAAAATGAAAAAAGCCAAAGCTACACACAGCACAAACAGACAGGGTGAAAACCCTTCTTCTAATGAAAGTCCAATAGCCAGTTACCATTTAGAAAGCTTGTGCTTTATCCTGCCAGCTCTCGCTGATAAAGGAAGGGGTCATTTGGCACCTGTTCCTTCATCAAATAAACCTTATGAGTCACCACATCAAAATTGTTACTAATATTTTGTGTACAAGAAAAATAAAAAACAAATGAGATGAGAAGTAACCTTTCTGATTGCTAAAATCAAAGTAAACACATTAATGAGCAAAACATGACAGCTAAACCATCCAAATTCACAAACTCACCTGTTTGGTAGGAAAAGATGTCCAGCAAGTTATAAAGATAATATCATAACAGATGTGGAAGGAAAGAACCATTTAAAAATAATTCTAATTTATACTCCATTTCATTCAGTTTACAAACCATTTTAAAACATCCTATTACACAATTATTTATTCATTTCCACCTGCATAATTTCTAATTTTTTATCAAAAGTGCTTACACTGCTATTTGCTGTCTTAAATTCTCTGTATCAAAAACACAGACTGCACACAATCCAATTACCCTGCAAATATCAGGTAAGGTTCCATTATGAGGTGTGACACTACTCTTTTTGAGGGAAAGGAAAATATACTGTGCATATCAGAATTCCTCCAATTCATTTTTTATGCCAAGCAAAAAGTTTTGTAATAAACCACAACTCTTAGAAAATTTGTTCTTCTCTATTTTGCATTACTCATTTTTTCTATGTATTTTCTATATACTCCTAAAAATACCTGCTATATTACTATTACATTATTACATGAATACTAGAATAACAACCTTCATAACATACTTTATGTCATACAGTCAGCATTGATTCATTTTGACAGGAGTAAGAACCTTATCATTTGCTTTTATTGTCCCCAATTAAGACAGGGTATTTGATATTCCTAGAGTGAATCAATGCAATATTGTGCATGGCTTTCATAAGAAATTATTTACTTTGTGTCAATGGAATATAGCCATCAATCCATATTATAATAACTATGTAAGAGTCTACTTAAACTTTTGCCCTAATTATAGCTACAAAACCCTTCATACTTATTTTATATACCTGCACCAATGAAACAAAAACATTTCTGCTATTGTGATAGTTCTGGAAACAGTTAACTCAGAAGAACTGCAGAAAAACAAATGGTATCAACTTCATTTTTCAGCATCATATCCATGCATAAAAGAGATGCTAATAACATTAGAGCTCAGTTAACTGCAAGAGGTTTGTGCAAGTATAGTAAAATTAATCAGTTACTCTATTTTTAAAACAAGATTTTACTTAAAGGCTGTCTAAAGAAAATGGATTTCTACAGAAAAAATAAATCTGAACTGCTACTTGAATAGCAATTAGGTATGCATCTGTTGCACATGTGTACGTACATCTTGAAAGAAAAGGGTTCTTATAAATTTTCTTTGATTGTGGACTCAGAACCTGAAATTTGGAAATATCAAATGCTTGTAACAGTTGTGTATTCATGATTCATCTGCTCCTTCTTTGCATGCTGGTAGAACATAACTCTAAGCCTAATTTTTAAAAGAAACAAAAAAAAAAAAAAAAAAAAAAAAAAAACAAAAAAAAAAAAAAAAAAAAAACCCCAGAACCAAAATCCACCAAAAAAACCCCCAAAAACTACAATAACCCAGCTCTGTTTACAGATGACTATTTCCAAAAATCTAGGAACTGTGGCTTGAACTCAAGCCATACACAGACAAGTGAAGGTCCAGCTATTATACATCACTTTGGAATCTTAACTACAACACTCAGTTTGGCCAGTCCAGTGATTCAGATTTTAGCTGAAAGGGATTCTCTATTGCTTGGTAGTGTATACATAAAATTAAAGGACTTCAAATCTATTTAAGATTAGGTAGGAGGGATACAGTTCTAAGTCCCTAGTTCTTTTTCCTGTTGTCCCCTGTGGTAGCCTATTTCTATATAATCTTCATAAATACTGTCCCCAAAATTGCTATCACATTTTTTCCCTGTTCTGCCACTACATTATTCATTCACAGAAATATGCCTAAATCAAGGGCCTGGCTAAGCAATGTCCCTTGCTGTCTTCTTTGCCTGCGGAGGAGCACAGATACCTCCCTGCTGTAATTAGTGAGCTTGGTTTAGAGCTGTGTTTTAGGAAGAGCCGCTCTTTGGGGAGCCCGGCAAAGGCTCCAAGACCAGACCTCAACAGCAAACCTCAGATGCCCAAGCAAAATGAATCCTGGCCCTAATTTTTTAACTCAAAGGGAACGACCAGTAAAACTGAAGCCACATGCTTATCCCTCTATATATGCTGCTACAACTTACTATCCTGGTTGCAAAGTCTTTGTTCTCGCTATTTAAACCGCACCCAGCACGACACCAACCCTGCCAGAGACATTTTCCTGTGACTTTTGGAAGGCAGAGTCACAGAGTGGCTGTCAGGGTCAGTGAAACAGCAGCTACGCAGGAAGCAGCAAGAAATCTGGAAGGACAAGGACAGAGCCTCAACAGCACAAACCCCATTCGCGGTGCTGGGCAGCTGGCAGTGTCCTGCTGCTGTCCCACACGGGACATGCCGGGCACCGTGTCCTGCTGCTGTCCCACCCGGGAGATGCCGGGCACAGTGTCCTGCTGCTGTCCCACCCGGCAGGTGCCAGGCACTGTGTCCTGCTGCTGTCCCCCCCGGGAGATGCCGGGCACAGTGTCCTGCTGCTGTCCCCCCCGGGAGGTGCCGGGCACCGTGTCCTGCTGCTGTCCCCCCCGGGAGGTGCCGGGCACCGTGTCCTGCTGCTGTCCCACCCGGGAGATGCCGGGCACCGTGTCCTGCTGCTGTCCCACCCGGGAGGTGCCAGGCTCTGGTGGCTGAGGCTCCCTCGGCGCGCCCCGCGGCGAGAGCCCTCCCTGTGCAGTGCCCTCTGCCATCGCCACAGGCGAGTCAGCTCCAGATAAGCGCCCAAAAGGCCTTTAAGTCTGTGGGGCTCACCTCTGGTCTGACAGCTAAATCAATTCAGCTCGCCCCGCGCCGCGTAACAGCGATCCCGCTAAGCGGCGACACTATTGACCTCAGACCCAACTCGCGGTCTAAATTTCATTTCAGGTTTCACTAGTGGCATCTCCTAGCGCGCTTCACGCTGAGAGCTGGGCTCACAGCCCAGGCCCCGCTGCGATAGCCCCGAACGGAGCGGCCGCTTTCGGGCCGTCGCGGGCAGCACAGCAGAGCTACTGCCGTGCCCGCCCCGCCGGGACCCCGCTGCTAAAGCCAGCCCCGACTGCGGAAATCGCTTTTTGCTCCTTTTCCCGTGGTCGGCTTTTGTTCCGTCTGTTTTCAATGACCCAGCCCGCGCAGGGGCTCCTCCGTGCCGCGGGGCGGCGCTGCGGACGGAGGCCGGCCCCGCTCGCTGCCCGCCGCCGCCCGGCCGCGGCTGACGTGTCGCTGCGCCATGGCGGCGGCCTGGGAGGAGATCCGGCAGCTGGCGGCTGATTTCCAGCGGGCGCAGTTTGCCGAGGTAGCCCACAGGTGAGCAGGACGGCGCCCGCACCGCCTGCCGCGCCCCTTCCCCGCGCCCCTTCCCCGCGCCGGCCCCCCCTTCCCCCGCGGCCCCGGTCTGGGCACCCCGCGGGGCCCGGCCCGGCCCGGCCCCTCTGCCGTTCTCTGTGTCAGTCAGTGCTGGAGCCCCGCGTCCTTTCAGGGACCCCGGAGCAGGGTCAAAGAAGCGACTGAGTGTGCTGACACTGCTAAGTTGGAGTTGCTCAAAATCATCACGGCTTCAGTGCTCGGTTTTCCCTTCTATCTGCTTGACTAGTTGAGGCCGTTGCCCAGAACTTGTTTTTCTTAAAGAAAAATAAATCCGAAATGCGCGAAAGTAAAATAAAACCGCACAGAAGTGTCATAGACACGAATTCTTTAGTTACAGGCGTTCCTAAATTCACCAGCAGGTGGGTTCTCACAGCTGACAGTTCTCATAGCTGTTCAGGAGGAGAGTAAAAGTTTTGGAGAGATGGCCTGCTCAAGTGAAACCATATGGATGATTTGGTGGGTGATAAGCAGGATACAGACATTAATTTCTTAGTCTGAAAAAGTATGTTCTCAAAGAACTGCAAGCAATCTTCATTGTACTTCCCATGTTTAGTGTGTTTGAAACTTTAAAGGTAATTTTAGCAAGTACTTGCTTAGAATAACTGCTGACTCCTTCTGCTTCTGATAGATTGTCAGAACGGAACTGTATAGAAATTGTCACAAAGCTGATAGCAGAAAAGCAGCTGGAAGTAGTGCACACGCTTGATGGCAAGGAGTATGTCACTCCAGCGCAGATTAGTAAGGAGATCCACGATGAGCTCCATGTTTCTGGTGGTAAGTTCAGATAGCTTTTTGTTGATGGCTTTAATGAGCAGGCAGTGTATTGTACTTTGAGTTGTTCTTAAGGATGAATTTCACAGAGTCATGTGTTCAGAGAAATTAATTTCTTATTATGTCCGTACAGGTTAGCCATTTTCTCACTGTTTCCACAGGTTTGCCTCAGTTTGTGTTTTGCCATGGTGTATCGTACCAGTGAGACAGCTTGGACTGAATTAAAATTTGCTGGGTTTTTTGTTAGTAGCATCATGTAAAGGTAGAAAGTTTTAACAATCTCTGGGCACTCATAGACTGGTTTAATTGGTCTACAGAAAAAGTAATTAAATCTTTTGTGCACAATGATCTGTACTTTATTCTAAACCTATTCAAATATGTTTCATGTACTAAAAGTGTGTTTTATCTTTTCTTGAAGGTCGAGTTAACATTGTTGACTTACAACAGGTAACTTTAGTAATAAAAACTTTATACTTCTTTATTTTCTTCACCATGTATAGTGTGAATATGGAGTTCATTTGTTATACTCCAGCTAAGTTAGTTTTTTAAAACAGAACAAATTTTATGAAGAGTTGGTAGCTCATGTCAGGGTACTGCAGATTACTTAATCTGTCCATTTATTGCTTTATTGAAACCTCTCTGCTTAGTGATCATCTAGGACTTCTGAAATCACTACTGATAAATACACTTTTTGTTTATGAACTCTGTCTTTGTAAACTAAGGAGGGCAGACAGAAAAGAAATATGTTACCATTTAAATTTAAAGCTGCAGGAGCCTGCATAATTAACTTTGCATGCCTCTTTGAATCTGTCCTCTTCCTCCATTATTCTTTGTGTCTCCACTAATCTTTGTCCTGCAGTAGTCTTCCTCTGTGGCTAATTTTTCCTTCAGGCTTGAGCAAAATTACTTGGAAACAGAAAATCTTTCTAAAAGCCAGTTTCCTATTTTGTCTTACTGCTTTCTGGTATTTTTTTTATTATATAGGTTTCTTTTAACCCTGTAGCAGTTGCACAGAGAGGTTTTTTTCTCTAAAGGATTGCTGCTTTATTCCAAAACTGTGTTTGTATGCAATAGTATAAAAAAATAAGAGCAGCTTTCCTCAAGATATAGGAATGTGTAACTAATATCTCAATGTTTGAGAATGGTTTTCAATTTAAAGTTCTGATAAGAGGGTTTGTTTTTTTTTAGGTGATAAATGTGGACCTTCTGCACATTGAAAACAGAGCTAATGACATTGTTAAATCTGAAAAAGGTATTCAGCTTGTACTGGGACAGCTTATAAATGAGTGAGTACCTTCAGGAGCAATATGTATAATTCATACCGTACTTATTTTTTAAAATGCAGACTAAAACTTAGTGTCCAACCTTTGTTGTTTCTGAAGTTAAATCCATTTTTCTTGCCTGATCTTAGAGCTGCTTGGTGGTGATCAGTGCTACTCTTGGCAGGTGAGACCTATCTCGGCAAAGCATCCAGTGAATCCATGGTGTAAAGGCTCTGCTGAACGTCTGGGTTCAGTGTCCTGCCTTTAAGAGGTTTCATTTCTTATCCAGTGTCTTTGTGCACAGCAGCCAGATCTCATTTGTCTCTGGCTTTGCTGTCTGCTTCAACTATTGACAAACCTCCTACCTCTTGTTTAACCTCAGAAGCCTAAGATGTTTGAGCTAGTTATTTCATGGCTTCCCTGATTACCACTGAAGTAATACTCTTATGGGGCTGTCCTTTTTATTGATTGAGCTTCAGGATCTGTTCTTGTCAAAGAATATGAAGTACCTGGCTCTCTTGAAATATCTAAGACCTGTCTTACTTACTTAAGCTGTTTTCCAATTTTCATTGACATTGTTTTCCTCTTTCTCTTGCTTGAAATTTTCATACAAGTAGATAAATGCCCCATCTTACTACTAGCTACCTGCTTAGCAGGCTTTAAAAAAAAACCACACCAACATGTCCCTTACACTGTTCTGCTTTATTCATTTAAAATAACTTTCAGTTTATTTTTGCAAAGATGTAACAGAAAGAGGTATATCAAAAGAGGTCAGTTATTCAGTATGTGATCTTGAGGTTGACTTTGAATGTCACACCTAATATGTTGTCTTTTCTTTTTCTCGTTTTTACTAAAGGAGTTACCTGGATCAATTAGCAGAAGAAATAAATGATAAACTACAGGAAACTGGCCAGGTGACAATATCAGAACTCTGCAAGGCATACGACCTTCCAGGAGACTTCCTGTTACAGGTGATGAAAGCCACCAACCTGGCAAAGGCAGGATTGGTTGTGACCACCTTCTTTCTTTATCTTTGCAATATCCATGGCTTTAAGTCACCATTTTGTACAAAATTAATACAAAGGTTAAATCTTCATTTTCATGGTGCATCTGCAAACCATACTTCTGTTTTCTGCAAAGTTTTCTGTCATTAGATACCCATATATCTGATGGAAGAAGGCATGCTTAGAAAAGCTGAATTTTTCTATTTACAGGCATTATCCAGGCGTTTGGGCAGAATTATTCATGGACAACTAGACCAGGAAAACCGTGGGGTGATTTTTACAGAAGCCTTCGTGTCCCGCCATCGAGCACGCATTCGTGGGCTCTTCACCGCGATTACTCGGTAAATTCCAATGCTGCAACCACATATTAAAATATTTTTGCTGTAAGTCTTTATGGTCCAGATTCACTTGTGGTTGAAAAAGAAAAAGGACCTATGGGTAGATTCCCCTAAGTGTAGTAAAATTCCTGGGACCAGTTCTCAGTTACATTAGACTCACTTGTTAGAAATAGGGACTCACTTTTGGAAAACAAGGGAAGTAATGTTATACTGTATATAACAATATACTGTTATATTGTTATATACACTACACAACATATATTAGTGTTTTGGCTGAAGAAATTGTTACTCTGTAGTTCTTTTATTACTTTGTAGAATATCTGTTCTCTTGTCACTCCACTGCTGCTTAGTTGGACACTACATATGATTATAGATAAGTTTTTCTTATTAAATCAGATTTTTATGTCACTTTGTAGGAAGAGGAAAACTTAACAAAGCAGAAGTTTCCTTGCAATAATTATCATGGCTTTTGTGTTATTACTTCACAGTAATTCAGAATTAAGGCCTTGTAAGCTATTTTAAACATCAGTGTAGTACCCGGAGGCTGTGTTCATCTATAGCAACCTCTCATTTCTGGATTCTCCACATCAGTTTCATATAATTAATTTATATTTTGTCTTTCTTTTTTTTTCCCAAGGCCTACACCTGTAAGTAGCTTGATCACTCGGTATGGATTTCAAGAACATTTACTTTACTGTGAGTTTCATTCAGAATATTTTGTGTGTTTATTAGGAAATCCATTCTTCAGTATTAAAAGTGTGCTTTCAAAGAAGCATTTTAGCACATAGACTTAATTCTGAAATACAGAACAATGTGTTTCTCTTTAGTGTAGAAAGTATTAAACCCTTTGTGCTATCCATCACTGAAGGGATGTTCTCTATATCCAGAGCAATGAAAACATTTGTTGACAAGATGCCTCTGGGGACAGAATGATGCAAGAAGTACAGTACTTATTTATTCATCTCTTTCATTATTTGCCCTTAGCTACTAGCAGTTTTATCAGTGAAGCACACAAAAGGAGACAGATTTTATGTAGCCAAATAGCATTAATTGCTCAGGATTTTATTTACTGACTTTTTTCTGTGATAAATGGAGGCTAAGCTTTTGTTGTACTCTTAGTTGAATGACTTTATATGCTGAGAGATAAAACATATCCTTAAACTGTTTGCTTTTATTTTCCTTTTCTAAGTAGAAATGCATAAAGATCCTCTATTCAGCTGCTGAAATCTTTAGGCTCTACTTGTTTGTCACTTTGTGTGCTCTTCCCAATCTCTCAAAAATGCTGCTTCAAGCATCATTAGTCTTCTGTGCTGGCTGACCAAGTGCTACTGGTCTTCTAAAATCCTTCAATGGTTTTCTATCTCTTCTCCTGAACCTTCATGCTTCTCTTGATTGGATATTTTTGCCTTCAGGGCATTGTTCACTTCAGCTCCACTGTAGTATCTCTCTGTTTATCCTGTTGTTCTCCACCACAAGCTTATTCTTTAAAAATTAAAATCGTAGCACTTAAATAAAATCATATAAACAGTCTACTTCCACATGATCAATTTAAAATTTCTGCCTTTTTTTATGTGCCATCCAAGTTTTCCTAGATTAAAGGGAAAATCTGTGAAATTGCATTATAATAATGTTTCAATACCCAGCAAATTTCAGTGTTTGGTTACAGTCTATTTCAGATAAGTCCTTCAAGTACATCATCATGTTTTGATGATGTACAGTGTTAATTGGAATTGAAGTTCTTGTGTTTTCCTGACACCAGTGAGCATCACAATATGTTCTTCCAGTATTTCCATGGGGTTTTTTTAGTGAGTTTGTTCATTCTTTTCTTTAGATTTTTTTACTTTCTCTCATTACCTCTGCAGTTTCTAAGTTTCAAAGAGCTTTTTATCTTTTTATTCGCTGCCAGATTTTATTGTGTCCATTTGCTGAGATACCATTTCTATTTCACAAATGTTGCAAACTTGAAAAATACCTTTTAATGATGTTACTTTTTAGCTTTTTATGTCTGTCGCTGTTAGCAATGTGTTTAATAGTGGTCATCAGTTTTCTGTCTCTTCCAGAATAAAAATGTAAGTTCAGTGTAATATTTGTATTATTTACAAACAGCTATTATTTAATCAATACTTGAGTTTAAACAGGATAAATATTATTCTTTGGTTCTTTCGCATAGATAGGCTGCTATTAATTTTAAGCTCTCATAAAGTTACATTAAAAAGTAGTTTTAGAAATGAGAAACTCTTCAGGTTAAGACACTAATTAGAAAGCATAATGAAGTAACAGATGTTATTCATTCCTGGGCATTATGTTACTGGTGTAGGACTGGCATGGAGGGACACTTAACATCTTTGTCAGACTGATGATGACCTAATAGGGCACAGCAAACTATTTGGTCTCCTTTAAAAATAAATGAGAATTCATGGTAGTTCTACAGTTTTGTTTTAAAACAAAATACTGTCTAGACATAATTGCAGCAATGGTCTATGAAATCACTGAGAGCACCTCCTCTGCCCTGGAGGTTTAGAACTGGCACTTGATAAAATACAGAATTTAATTGATGTCTTCATTTGACTTCTTTGCTTCGGACATCTTCTTTCCGTAAAGAATAGATTTTTTCTTTTCCTTCATGAATAGATTTTTCAACCAATTTTGTGGAGTTCTAGGAAAGTCTAATTATTTTTCTTAAAAACTTTGAATAAAAAGAAGTTGAAATTGCAAACAGAGAACCATTCTGTATTATCTGACAATTGCTTAAGTGGAACAGACAGCTTGACGCTATTTTCTAGGGCAACTAAAATATTAGGAAGGACAAAAAACTAAATTTATTTCCAGAATTGGTCTTAAAAGTTCCATTTTATTCGATGTAACTGAACCATGGCAGAACATGATTTCTGGCTCTTGTCTTAAATTACATAAAGTTATATCTTGTTTAAATCAGTTTCTCTTTCTGCTGCATTTTTTCAGTGTAAGTATTGTTCAGCTTTGCTAGTGGCGGTTGTGTTCAATAGCTGCTAGCTTATAGAAGCTTATCTACACTATGGGCATATCTGACAAAAACTATCATGATTTGCTATGCACTGTTTCTTCTGGAACTGGGCTTTCAGGTAAACTTTAATGCATAAGTAAGCTAGACCTCTGTGTGCTGTACTAAGCATGTTGAAGTGTTGATTGCTGCTTCTATTTAATGCAGAAGAAGTCTTGCCAGGTGATACCATTTAATGTTTTGTTCCAGAGCAAAACACATCTTTTAATGAAATAGAAATGAATATAAACTGAGTATTAGAAAAAAGCCATCTGGCAAAGCTCTGGAAATTAGCAGAGTTAACAGCTGATGTCACTGATTTTTTAAAATACATCTCTCGTATTACAGAAAGGCAGAAGCAGATCATAGGAGGCAAATCAGATATTCCTATGCAATTTAAATGGATTTAGAGAATCTTATTTAGCATTGAGAAGTGCTTAGTACTTCGGTACTACCAGTTACCAATATGCTTTTTGTTAGCAGTATTCTCAAGAGGTCATTATTGGCCACTGTGTTATGCAGTTTAGGTAATGACTTCTCATGTCATTTTCTGCATTCAGATTCTTTTTTTCCATTTTGGTTAATGTGCAAGCAGTGAATTCAAAGAAAAATTACTATTAAAATGCTATTATATTTTACTCTTCTGGCCAGAGAAAGATTCTTCTATGTCTGCATTTTTTAAATTAAAAGCTAAAAGTGCCCAGGTACCTATTCAATAAAAACCATTTTGATCCTGCCATTGTGGCTCACTCTTTAGAAACATTGTCTGATTTCCAGAGCTTTTGTGAAGAAATTCTCATAAGTGTTAAAAATAATTGATAGAGCTTGGCAATGTTTCAAAAGAACAAGCACAAACTAATTGGTGGAAAAAAAGGAGAAACAAACCAGGGAAAATAATTACTATCTTTTGATTAATGGATATACTAACTTAGGAAATATCTCTTCATTTATTTTTCTCTTGTAGCTTTGCTAGAAGAACTTGTTAATGCTGGTCGTCTGAAAGGCACCGTGGTTGGTGGGAGACAGGATAAGGCTGTGTTTGTTCCAGACATCTATTCCAGAACACAGAACAAATGGGTGGATTCCTTTTTCAAGCAGAATGGTTACTTAGGTAATCAATCTATATTCTTACAGATAAAATAGCTTTCTAAAACTAGTGTAGGTAATTGGTCTTACCTTAATATAGCTAGTGCTTAGGGTGAAGCCTCACAAGGAGAAGTGTAAACCAATGCAGTGGCTGATACTCCTTTGCTCAATGACCATCTTGCTCATAATGATGTGTGTTACTTTATCACAATGAACTGTATTTCAGCAGAGGGGACCATACTGGTAAACAGTAACTATTTCTCACAAACAATTACAAATGCTGATTTTGTTACTGCTCTGAAGACATTGATTAGCCTGCTCATTGTAGACTTTTCAGATCATTGTGGCTGGAGTTTCAGGCCAGATGTCCAGATTACAACCAAACTTTGGCTGCTAATTGTCCAAGCATGCAGTGCTCAGGAAGAACTTTTTTCCAAAATATTTGTAGAACTGCAGTGAGTAGCACTAGTGTCCTGATTTGAATCCAGACAATTATATCTAACTTCCAGCTGAGTGATGCTGGATGATGGTGTTTTGAAACACCACGAGCTGTGGGAAAATGTGGATCTGAATAAAGAGAGGAATGTCCCCTTATGGTCCCAAATGGTCAGGCCCAAAGTGGCAGTTATTCTTGCAGATTGAAAAGGTTCACCCTAACTTAAAATGATAGTTTTAAGTGTTTCTGTAATACTGCTTGACTGATGGAGTGTCTGTCAGTCTTTGAATGTTTTCTCCACCTCTTAAGTATAAACTGCTAAATAGTTGAAAGCAAAACACTTGGACACTGTATGTATTGTAAATATTTTTCATTAAATATTAGAATACTTTGGAAAGATACGACTGCAAATATAAACTTAATGGTATAAGAATCAGAAAAAAACCAATTTTCTAAACTCAGATCAAAGTCACATCCATGATTTAATCTTCATACTTCTATTAGCAACATTTAGATGTAGCTTGTACTGAACTAAGTTTTAGGTCAGCATTAGCTAATGGCTGCATTTACTTGTGTAAAAAATATGTGTAACACTTCATTTCTTGTTTTCAAAATAAAGTCATCCCATAAGATCTTGTATGTATATGAAGGAACTAAATTTTGACAGACATATATCTGTTTTATAGAATTTGATGCATTGTATAGACTTGGCATCCCTGACCCAGCAGGCTACATTAAAAAAAGATACAAGTCTACACAACTCTTATTTCTGAGAGCAGCTTGTGTTGGTCAAGAGATTGTGGATCAAGTTGAAGCCTCTGTGGAAGAAGCCATCAGCTCTGGAAACTGGATAGATGTAGCAGTAAGCAATCCTTTCAATTGCTCTTGGATTTATTTATTTTTTCTTATTTTTGTGTCAAATTGCACTTTATTAAAACTACATTTATGTGTAATGAAATTCAATGTTGTCAAAGAAGAAAATTCAGTCTAATTAAAATGACAAGTAAAAGGACATTATTTGCCTTTGATTTGATCTGAACAAAAACAGGGGAAGGACATACTTGCATTCAGTTTATAGATACGTAAGACTAACTTTCATTTCAAAACTAGTGTATTTCTCTAGTAGAGAGCAATATATTTCTGCTAGGCTTTTTTTTTTTTTTTTTTGAGAAAATGTCTAAACTAAATGCTTACAAAACTTTTGGTGAGCAGAGGGATCTTAGCCACTTTGTCCTAAATCCTAATTTTAAGCCTTACAGCACTACCTTTGTGATGCTGCTGCTGTTGTGTGTTTGGTGTTGCTTTGTAGCAGTTGAGCTTTGTTTTGAAGAAGTTGCCATGAATTTGCCCAGAGGTAACACATATTTCTAGAGCAATGTGGGTTTGCCATGTTAGAAGATTTAAAATAGTGTGTAGTCTTAAATTAGTATCTTAATTTGAAAAGTGCAATGCTTTCTAAATAGTTAGTAGGTGTCAAAAGGCCTGTGTCTATTCTGTTTATCCACTTACAAGGCTGTTGTATTTTAATTTTCTTTACCCTAGACCCTTCTGCCCAGCTCATTGTCAGTAGAAGATGTTGGGATTTTGCTCCAGCAAGTGATGAGATCTTTAAACAAAAGCTCTTCAGGTTTAGTCTTCAGTGACACCATTGCAGTCAGTGAGAAATTTCTAAGCAGCTGTGCTGACCTCTTTTCTGATCTGATGCAACAGAAAGCAGAAAAGGTACAGTAGGTTTTTGTTGGTCAAGATAGAGTGAGCATGGAGTGTTGGAGTAAAGCTTATGGGACTTTCCAGTCACTGTTACAATTTCTGTACATCTCATCTGAAATACAACTAGAGAAGAAGCAAGACAAATGAACAACAGGTTTCTATATTTAATGGGTGTAATTTATATTCTGGTGCACTCAGGAAGTCCAGTCTTGTGTTGCACATGGAAAATGTGATGTTTGATTCATGTGCTTGAAAATGGCCAGCTGGCTTAAATGTTTCTTCCATTGCTGTATCTTTTTGCTATGATGTGCATGTTCTTCATTTTAGGAAATTAAAAACAACCCTGTTAATTTAATCACTGAAGAGGATTTAAAACAGGCTTCTTCTTTAGAGAACTCATATGCTAATAAAAAAGACAAAAAGGATGAAAGAAGAAAGAAAGCAGCAGGTAAGATACCAATATTCAGCTTAAGAAAAAAGAAACAAACCTAATTTGTTTTATCTCTTAAATACTCAAATATAAAGTTAGTATATTTTTTAGTCCATTAAATGCTTCCAGTCTGTTGCTTAAGATATTTAAGAAATAATCCAGCTGCTTACCATTATACTGTGGATATGCATACATCTCAGCTATGCCCACAAGAATTAATTTCAGACTTAGAAATGCAGAGGAAGTACTATAAAGGACTCTTGAGTTAGTTCAACACAAGTTAACTGTTTTTAGAAGCAAGGAATCCTGTGTTCATTTATTATTTTATACAGTGTGATCACACAAGACTGAATAAAAGCAGTATTAGCTCATGGACCTCTGTACTATGTTTTATTACACAGAATAGATAAAATTTTAATCTCCATTTTTCAAGGGTCCAGGAAAATTAATTCTTATTAGTCTTTGGATGTTAATTCCAAAATAACTTTGTCTAAATTTAGAATGAGTTTTTGGGATTTTTTTTTTTTTTTGAGGAATACTTGTCATCTTTTCTGAGAAAACCATGCCATGGAATTTTCTGGTTTTGCACATGTAACAGTTACTTGGGGATTTAGACAGTTTACTTTGAGGTATATTCTGGATTAAATTAATCCCAAACCTTACTCCATTTGTGTGGTGACTGTTTGGAATAGATTTCAGTTGAAGGAAGAATGAATATATGTGGCTTTAACCCTTTGAAATCTTTCTGCTTTTTAAACCAGTATTCAGTCTGAAGACTGTTAGTCCCAAAAACTTTGTGCGATTCTTGTGCTGTTGCAACACAGCTGAGCAATCTATGTTGAACTCACTTGCAGTGTTATTGTGCTTCTGAAAGTAAGAGAATTAGAGCACTGGTGCATCTGGCCTGATTCAATATACTCATCTGCAAAATAGAACATTCTAATCTTAAAAAAAGAGTATGAGTAGGCCTGAGTTGACATGGAAATTAAACTTATTCTTGACACAAGAGATGGCAGATTTTTCTAGGCCATAGCTAAGGTAGAGAAGCTTGGATCTTTAATTGAGCTGTCATAATAGAATGACTTCAGTTTCCAGCCCCTTGAGGAGTGAGACTCTACTGAGCCTGTACCATTTGTCTAGACAAATTCATACCCACAGGTAACATGCTGCACCATCAGCAAGCACTACCCTGAAATGTTGTATCATGGACTGTTATGTGCATTACCTAAAAACACCTCACCATAGCAGTTTTTATGTAATGTAATTACTGTAACACAGTCACATTTCAAATAAGTTTGTGAAAAGCACTATTTTTTTTGGCTGTTCCTGCAGAGTGATGCTTAAAAATCCATCTATGGCATGTAACAGATGCAGTTAGCTTTTTAAGTAAGAGCACCGTGTCTTTGTGTTTCCTTTTCTTAAAACATAGTAGTTACATCATGTAGTTACTTGAAACCTGAGACCATATTTAAATGGAAAAAACCCCACTTTCTCAAGGCATAGCGTATATATGTCTAGCACCATGGAGTTTTAAGTTTCTTCCAAGTGAAAAAATAACAGAAGAGGCTGTGAAAAAGGGAAGAAAGAGCAGAACAGCTTGCCTTGTGGAGAGGGACTGTATAGCAAGTTGAGATTCTGTCTGCAGTTGCATACATTGATGCAGGACTTCTGACAAAGTAATATGTTACGTGTGTCAGAGCTGGAACATCCCATTACTCTGTAGTCATCTAGGAAAAGTCGAAAAAGATCGAGTGCTCGAGTTCATTGAATGTGTGCTTCCAGTAATATTTTGGGTAAGTGCTTGTAGTGTAGGATTCTTGCTCTGAAAATTAACAAAGTTACATTATCTAACCTAGTTTTTATAAGCTCAGTTATTTAGCATCATTGATTAAAAATGCTGAATGCTTACTGAGGTGCTGTTTTCAGCCGATAGAGATCCCCCATTACGTTATGGACCCTGGTATCTCATCTGTTTTTAGCTGAAGCAAGATACTGCTCTTTTTATTTTTTTTTCTTATTATATGTGCATTTGATATTAGTGTTTGTGTTTATTAATGACATAAGGGTAAACAAAGCTTTGCTTCAGTTGCTTTTTATCTTAAGAATGAAACTTATGGCCTTAAGATTCTGAAATATATGTTCTAGGTTGTGTTTAGAATCAGATTGTGGTTTTCAATGCAGCATTAGCAAGTAACATAGATAAATTACCTTGGTATTGTAAACTTTTTAAGTGCTACAACTTTCCTGTGTACTAAGCAAGTAATTCCCCACCAGAGGGCAGTGGAAGCGTGAGAGGAGGAGGTGGTGGGAATGCCAGAGAGATAAAGATCAAGAAAACCAAGAAGAAAGGAAGAAAGGATGCTGACAGTGATGAAGAGTCACAAGGGACTGCCACAGGTTTGTAATTTTATTTTAGACACTACCTATTCATATCTATTCAACAGGGTTTAACTACTTTGTTTTTTTCCTACATGTCTGTTCTTCCCACACTGTTCAGATAGGGTCAGCTAAAATGTCAAGAAGATGAGAACACTATGTACTTAAAATTGTATCTATGGATCTGGTATTTAAATTAAATTGACATTACATGTTCACTGAACGGCATAACTTAGTCTTTAAAAAGGAAATTTAATTCAAAGAAATAATACCATTTTATATTCATTCTTTTATTTTATGTAGGAAATGCCATAGATTTTGGGGTGAATGTTACACTTGATTTTGTAACACCTGCTGCATAGTGTATGATAAATGAATGGCCTAAATTAACAATAGCAATTAAACAGTTTTTTTCTTCATAGGGATAAAATATACAGTAAAAATCAATGTTTTGATAGTTTTAATATCGTTCCTTATTGGTGCCTGTTTCTCTATCTTCACTATTAAAAGGAATGGCTTGCTAAGTAAAAGCTAACATTGTTAGATTTAGAGCAAACAATGGTTGCAAATGAAGCAACCATGTTCTTTCTTTTGTTTGCTGCAGAACCTGAAATGTGTACTTCCATTTTTTATGTAGGATCGAGACTTTAAATACTGACTGAAAAATACTTTGAAACATGATATTTGATGTGTGAAATACACTGTAGTAATTTTGTTTGATACTGTTCTCACAGTGTACTGTAATTCTCATATAAATAGAATTATTTTTCAGGACTACTCAGTTACTGAGTAAAACAACGTTCAATCACTTTTGGTTTTTGGTGTAGGCTTTCTGTTCTTCCCTTATTGCTGTTTGTATTGCTTTATTATAATAAATAGCTTGAACCACGATCTCAAGGTAAACTCAGATTAAACCATTCAAATATAAATAAGGTCCTTTTTAAAACCTGATTTAACCTCCCTTTTCACTTGTTTATAAACTTTGTACGTTCATTACTGCTGCGGCACAACAAGGCATATCATTGATCTCCATACTTATGTGCACAATAAGCCTGTCTTAAGGTACATCTGGAACATGTCCTTTTCTAGTTCTCTGTCATCATTCTGATCTCATTCTTATATGTAAAAATTCTACAGCACCCGGGAAAAGTTCATGTTTTGTGTGAAACTGAAATACAGATGCACTAAATTGTATGCATATAAGTTGCTTTTATTACAGGAACACCTTGTCTGATTTAATTTATCATGTTTCAGATTTTACACTGTAACCTCAAGTTTAGGACTCTGTGTTACGTGATTGTGTACCTTACCATTACTAAATGGAGTTTAAAATAATAAAAACAATAGCGTTGTGAAATCCTTCAAGTAGGAACACTCAATTCAGTTTTGGCACTTTATTTGGTCTTGGTGACAGGGTTTCTAAAATAATGGGCCAAGCAGAAAAAAAGCGTCACCAAAATTACATATCCTCATACACTACTTCAGTAGTCTATTACAGAAACTTCTAAGTGATCAAAAGAGAGATTTTGTCAGTTTTTCACATGTGTAAAATTCCGCTGTCATGTATAATCATCCTGGTTTTTCCATTGTTGATAAGCATTTCTTCTATGGAGGTTGGAATTTGAGGCTTTCCAGTGTCTCATGCCACAGAGTAATTGTAGCAATACTAAATGCAATGTTTTCTCAGTGAGTGTTTTTTATGGCCACTACAGGTAGGAATAAGAAGCTGGAGTTCTCTTTCATGTCACAAGAGGAAATTGAGGAGGTTTTAAAGACCCGCATGCAGGATTGCCCTGAAGAGCTTATTACAGAAATTGCTGAACATCTAAGAAGGTAATTTCAATAATTCAGCTGGAGTTAGAAAATTTGTGATTCACTTCAGTTGAATCTATTCTTTGGTCTTTTTCCTTGCTTAGAAAAGAGGGCCTTGTTGATAGATGTGAACCACAATAGTCTCTTTCTGTACAGCTCCATGTTACACGTCTTACGTATTAGAAAGCTGTCCTGACACAGGAATGTGCCTCTGCTTAGCAGTACATGGTCCTGCAAGCTCATTTTCAGCTTCACAGGTGTATTTTCACCCACTTACATGGATCCATGCTGGGGTTTCACCTGTCCCATCTTCTGGACAGCCTTTGATACGTGATCATGTTTCCTGGCATCTGTGTCTCCATGGTACCCATGAGAGTTGGGTAGTAAATTATGTTAGCAAACTGAGCTATGCAAAGATGAATAACTTCTTTTAAAAGATATTCCATACCAGAGAGAATGTGAATATGTATGTTCAGAGCAAAAGGAACATGAGATAAGACTGTAATAGCCAAGCTTGAATAAACCTGGAGTGCCATAGTAACCGCATCTTTAGAAATTTGTCCAGAGGCCCCTGAAAGTTTGTGAATAGCATTGCGTCTGGAAATCCTTTTATCTTTCACCTTTTTTCCATTGAAGATTGTGAAAACCTTGGCATATATTTACATACCATGCATACTATAACATTAGAACATCTGCCATTAAGTTTAATTAATATTTTAATTTCCTCGTGGGGTTTTTTTTCTGATTTTCATAATTGGCTTTTTGTTTATCTGACTGTTCTGTAGCATTCATGTCCCCATCATTTACTACATAATGAGGTCATTTTCTCTGTTGCTGATGTATTTTGGAAAACCTCACACAGTTTCACACTTTTCTCAATGTTTTCTCCTTTCTTCTTTCCTGTTCTAAGACCTTTGACAAAAACTTATCAGGAGGTTGTGCGTTCCGTTTTTACATCTTCAACATCGTCTTCTGGAGCCAACAGAAGACAGGCTATGAAGGACTTGCAGGAGGAATTCTCAAACCTGTACAACAACATTCGCTTATTTGAAAAGGGAGCAAAGCATTTCACAGGTGCAAAATACATACTTTGAAAAATGATTATGCTCATTCAAGGATGTTAAATTTATTCCAGAATCTACATTAAAGGTCAGACAGGAGCTAGAGTTTAAAAAGGAAAATCTAGAAAGAAAAAACTAGAGATGTGTTTAGTATGCATAACACTGCCTTTATGCTGAAGTGCATAGCTTTGCACAGTAGTTGAAATTCATTCTCTTTATTTCATATCCATATTCTGTTACCTTATGTCAAGGTAACTGTGTTCTTATCTTTCCTTCCCAAGTGTTTCCATTCTTTCCAATTTTTCACTGTCCAGATGAAAAAAAAAGGAAAATATTAGTATGTTCATTTTATTCTGTCAGCTGTGCCACTAATGAAAAAATTGAATACCACCTGATTCTAAGAAGCTGCTCTTTAAACCTCGTAGGTTTGATACTGAAAGTAGCTGCTGCTTGAGGATAGTCTGTCAGATTAGTTTTGCAGGGGGTTGCTCTGTAAGGTGTGACAGAAAAGTTAGCATTAGGAAAATACTGTAGACATTTCCAAGATTCTCTGCTGTATTCAGCTTTCGCCTAGAAAATTGCCTGTGGAAATCTAGCAGAAGGAAACATTAGCAAAACTACCTGATATTCCTGTATTTTGGAATATATAGAATTACTTCCCATTAGCCCTTGTTCTTGGGCATGTGTTCTGTAGCCTCTTTTTTTCCCCCAAATTCAGTATTTCAGTCTTAAAGTTGCATGGCTGTTCCTCTGTTTAACTGCTTGTCCTGCAGAATTTTCCTTTGTATGCTCTTGACTTGATCAATAGCACTGTTTCAAGAGGATTGTACAGGGTTGTTTACTGCTTATACAGATACATCTTTGAAATACTAGCAATGCATTAAAATGTTCTTACAGAGCTGAAAGCTCACATTTTTCACTGAACAAGATTCCATAAGAATGTCACAGCAAATGAGGGATGTTATCTTCATGTATCCAGATAACTTTCTCATACTACTCATGGTTGATAGAATCCACAGATAGGAAGGTGCTGTGATAACATCATAGGAATCAGATGACTATAATAAGTTACTTTAATCACTTATTTGTTTTAACAGATGATACTCAGACTAACCTTGCCAAACACCTATTGAAGACTCTATGTACAGACATTACAAATCTGGTTTTCAACTTCTTGGCATCTGAGTCAATGATGACCACAGAAAATTACTCTACAATCACAAGTGAGGTACAAAAATAAAAGCTCCTTTCTAACAGTCTCAAGTAGATCAGTGATATTTTTTCAGTAAGTAATTGCTTGACTTGAAATATGCCAACATCTAAAAAGATGATTAATATTACAGATTATTTCCATTCTTGTCCCATACAGGGCAGAATCAAGATTTTAGGTAAACTGCCAGAAGATACCAAAGGTCCTTTAACTAAACTGCATACTTCTCTGAATGGCAAGGTAAAAATCAAGTTCAGATTTTCTGTTTTGCTGATAGAATGCTAATAAATAGCTGACACACGTAGTTTAGTACGTAGTCACTGCTGCTGTGAAGGTTGAAGGCAAAATAATCTTTTGCATTTTTGTAAGGCAGTGAGAGAAAGTGTGTTTTTGTATCTGTGAATGTTCAGAGATGAAAAGGTGATCTTACATTTTGATACTGATAGTCACCTTTGGCTCCTTGCTGCTATATGGAATCCAGTGTGCCTTTCATAGGCAGGTGAGAAGAGTGAAAAGTGAGCGAGAATCTCCAATCTAAAGTGGTTGATGTTTTTGTATTTTGTTCCCAGAGTTCTTGATGTTCTTCCATGTATTTCTTAACTAGTAAAATTATGGATAATTTAAAGAAACCCCAAACGTTCAGATTATGACAGTGTAGGCACAAGGAGAGTTATTTATTAATTCTTTTATGCAAAAGACCATACTGAGGTGTTTCTTAATAAAAATATATATCTGTAAATAATTGTAGAACATGTATTCATTTTTAATTTTATTTCCAAGACTAATGAATTACAGTTCGGGTTGTATTTAAGTATATGAACTGTTGTAAGATGATCAAAGGTAATTTCTACTAAATACATGTTACTTTCTCTTTTCTTCTGTAGTTTATTTCAAGTGTATTCACAGTCATCTTTTGTGTGATTAATTGTGAACAGTAGTTAAACTTTTTTATAATCTGCAAACACAGATTAAATATTTCTATTATTTTTAATAGAGTATAGAAGATTTTCTTTCATGCCTTGATTCTGCAGTGGATATTTGTGGTGTTATGGTGAAAAAAGGAGACAAAAAGAAGGAAAGGTACCTTAATTTTATTTATTCTATGAAATGTGGCTATACTGCTGAACAAATGTAGGATGGTTAGTATGGGAGCAGTCATACTCGGTGGGTAAGAGGCAGTCCTTCTTTCCAGACTGCTTAACTGAAAAATAGCAAGTCAAGCAGTTCTAAATCCATGGGAGGAGAATTCACATTTAGCTAATTTTGTTGGCTCACTACCTTTCTATAATATAAGTTCCCTAGGGGTCTTTCAAAATCTGAGCTATGCCAGTGATAGTTCTTTGGGTTTTTTTTTCAATTAACATTTTGGAATGCCACATAAATAAGTGGTCAGAGGAGAAAATTAAAATTAATTGATGCTAAATAAGTTTTAGCATATGTGATCAACTACTATATGATAAAATCATAAAATCATATTTTTGTTTCATATATTCTTGTTCCTTAGGCAAGTCCTGTTTCAGCATAGACAAGCTCTGATTGAACAGCTCAAAGTCACAGAAGATCCAGCTCTTGTTCTTCACCTGACATCAGTATTGTTATTTCAGTTTTCAACTCACTGCATGCTTCATGCACCAGGAAGATCAGTACCACAGATCATTAATTTCCTAAGTGGCAAGATCCCAGAGGTATTCTTTTCTAGCTTTTTAAAGGGAAATTACCTTTTTTCTATGACAGAACATGAAAGTTTTGCCTTACACTATTTTTGCTGCATAAACCTGATACCATTTGATTTCATGCCTAAACATTACTTTATGTGCAGAATATACAATTGCTCTGATCTGGACTGCATTGCAGATCAATCTCTTCAGAGATCTGTCATCAAAATTTTTTTTATAAAATTCAAAATGTGTTATTAGTCCTTTGAATTAACCATAGAGACAGCTCTGTCTTGGGAGATATTACAATTCTTACAATGGAACATTTTTACGTCTTCCCTCTGAGCTAGAGCATGGTTGCATTTTAAACTTTTCTAATCCAGTTTTAAAGAAAGATGTACCTCTTAAAGAGCAAATACATTGAAATTCTCTATTTTATACTGCTGAAACTGGTGATGTTTATTAACTGCATTGCTTTCATGCTTCACTGGTTTATTGTCCTGTTTTTGCAGCACTTGGGTGCTTTCAGTTTTTTGCCTCTTTGAATGTCTCCCGAAATTTAGGTTGTCAAGTACTTGGTTAGAAATATATTTCTGTATCACTAATGCTCTTTGACCAAGAATGGGAGAATGCTTTTTAAAAAATTATATCTTTAATTATAGGTCTGTCTACCTTTTCTGTAACATTGACATCCCCTGGGTTTCTTCTCATTTTTTGCCCTCAGGATCAATATTCGCTGATAGTCAAATACCACGGATTAGTGGTGAAACAATTGACCAGCCAGACTAAGAAAACTGAACACGGAGACAGTGACACAAAAGATAACATGGAAGAGGAGGAAGGAGCAGAAAGCATTCGAAAAGAGCTTCAGGAAATCACTACCTCTATCAAAGATCTTGTTCTCAGACCTAGGAAATTTTCTGGAACAGAGGAATGAAACTGCTACTCAGCGCATCCACCTCCATGATAGAGTCAGACTTTATTTTCTTCTATGCTGAAAAGAAAGGACAACAGAAAATGCTTGGCAGACTTTAAATTTGGCCTCTAGTAATTTGCAAATCACAGCCAGGGAACACAGTTGCTGGGTGATGGTGGCAAATGGAATTTTGTTACTTCTACAGTGTACTTCTAACACACATTAATGTAGACATGGCAGAACGCAGTAGTGGAGGCTTTGGGTACAAAACCAGTGGGGTTTTATTGGCATCCTCATGTGAGACCTCAAGAAATTAATCTTCAAATAACAGTGTATTTTGTTCCATACACAGGCTGACAGTTTTACTTCTCTGATTTGGGTTTGTTGTGAGATAAGGATCGCATACAAGCCTGTCTATCTTAATTTCAAATACTGGCTTTAGAACGTATTCTGATACCTAACAGCACACCAGCAAAGGCCATCTTTACTCTGGTATCATTAGTGAATGTTTTCAGTTTCTGTTCACTGGACTGCAACAGTAAAAACACTTTGAGTACGAGTGGATATTAATAAACTTAAGGGAAGTGACTCGCTACTAATACGAGTTTCATGAACATTCAAGTTCATGAACATCAGCACACTGATACTACTGATGTATTCTGCTAATGTCTGAATAGCTGTTCATTTAAACCTGTAATCCAGAAAAGGTGACTCTCTTTTGCATTGGCATTTTGGGAGCAGATAAATTCTGTTACACTTGCAACATTGTACATGCCGTGTGTTTATTCAGCAGACTTGTTGGGTGCTTAGTCCGGTTCCCATAGCAGATAGAAACATTAGCATTCTGTCAGCTCTTGAGAGAACTTGTGTTCTGTTTATCCTGAGTTTCTTGAAAATAATGTAGTTCATGATCTTTCTACATAAGCTTCATAGACAGAAATACTGCTGCCCTCAAGTTTTTGTGAGCCTTATATTTACATTAACGGTACTTTGTCTTTAGGAAAGTACAAAAATGTGAAAAATTGAGTTCTATCACAATTGATGCCATAATTCTTGTATGGCAAATACATTTCTAAATTTATTTTGGAGAGAAGATAATTTTCAAATTTGAAATATCTATTTGAATTAACTTTTGTTACTTCAGTAATACCCATTGATTTCATGTAGGTAATTTAAGGGGGTTTGCATAACATTGAGGTTGAGTAATAAGAGATGAAAAACGTTCTTTTCACTAAAAATGTCATTCACTCATCCTTGCCAAAATTAGTGCTCAAAGAGGGCAAATTCTGTGCAAATTCTGCTCCATTCAAATTTTTCTGTTTTCCAACAATTCACATATTCTTGTGAGCTTAATCATAAACACATCCAATTGCAACAATTGAAGAGGCCAGGTGTGGAACCCCAGTAACAGAGTAACAAATGTTAAGGTAATTTTGGTGATGTAAACAATAGAATTTTACACATATTTAAAAGGCAGTAATGTTTAACAATGTTCATGCCAATGCTGATCTTTTATCAGCCATGAGGCAAGAACAGTTTGAATTATAAGGCAGAAGCAAAGGCAGTTGTTTCTCTTTCCTTTGTGGGAAGTTATAACAGCTGACAGTAAAAGACAGTGGGGAATAAATGACAATAAATATTCAGGTTGTTGAACTTTGTTTAAGAAATGGTTTGTGTACCAGGAATAGGTTTGATTTCTTGCTATTTAGCCAGGATAATTAATAAGTTCCTATAATGAATGTAAACAATTTTATATGCCATTGAGCTCTTTTGTAAATAATATGCTATATGAAATTCTGTATGCAAATAAGAAATTATTTTAATAACATTAAATGATGAAGTATTTGAAGAGCATTCTGTTGACATCACCAGTGTTTGATCATGTTGCAACTTGCAGCTTTCAAACAGCAATAGGTAATATGCACTGTTAGACTTAACACACCATTCTGAGTGTCCCTGTGTTTTTGTTTGGTATAATAATCAAATTACTGCAGAATTTACTTTATCATATGTTCAACTTGCTATATTCCAGCCTATGCTATAGGAAGGGTTTAAAACATAGATTCTTTGAAGTAGATACAATGGAAACACTTCAGAGATATCTTCTGGCTACAAATGGAATTCGAGGAGACATGGTTGGAAAACTGTCCGAGGTGTTTTTTCTTGATTTGGAAATTCAGTCTTTAGTTTATGATACAGAAGTATATCTTCTGAAAGAGAAAGAAAAGTAATTTTGCTAATTCACAGGGGTTTTTTTCCTCTCCCTAGGAGGAATGTATGTCGGAGGAAGAGTAATCTTGTCTTACAAATCAGAGGTGCAGTTCACAAAACAAAAATGCCCTTTGGAATATCTAGGAAAATGAAAGGCACTACAAAGTATACAAATTAACACTTTTACTCTGGTTTCAAGCGTTAGTGTCAGCCTCTGACCTTCACTTGTGCTGTCTAAACACCACCATTACATTTTTAATCTCATCAACTGATGTGTATAGATGCATGGATGTGTCTGTACACACCTACTTAAAAATGTTCTCATAACCTTGTTTGCTGCTGCTCTCAGGTTGGAGTGGATGCATTAGCCATAGGTAGAGTAATGCCTGCCTCAGCAACAGCCTTGCCTTTCCTTTGTTTTAAGTGGCAAAAGATGACTCTTGTAGTTGGTTACTTCCAGATCTGCTGGAACTGAGCAAATTGTTGCTCTGTTAGAACTTTCAACTCTTTGTTGAAACTCTTTTGCAGCTTCTTAAAAAATTTGGTACAGGTTTCTAAATAATATCAGTGTGTTTTGTTATCAGCATGAATCCATCTGAAAGCTTGTTCAGGTAAAACTACAGTAGTTCTGTTGCCTCTAGGCTTGTGAGTAAGGCTACTCAAGCAGTGGTTTCTCTTTGAATGTTTTTCCTAGTAAGTAACAGTAGGCAAAATAATGGAAGTTTCTCATATATGGGTAGATTTGGATTTCTTGTTTAATAGGAAGTTTGGTACTCTTGCAGATGACAGAAGAGTGACTGTGGTGGGTCAGACTGAAGGTGAATGTAGCCCAGTATTGTGTCTCTAGCAGAGGCCAAAAGTGACTGCTCAGAGAGCAATATAAGAACAAAGACGTAGTATTTCTCCTTTGGGTGCTTTCTGAGCCTCCAAATCCATGTTGCCCAAACTTTTTGAACAACAATTGTACTTTATTATAGATACTATCTGCTAGCCCAAATAACAGAACATATTCAGTAAATGCCAAAGATATTTTGTCAAGAAAACAAGGTCTTTAGGAATTGTTAAGGAATGTGACCTCTGAGGTTTTGTTCTCTAAATGATGGATATTCTAAATTGGAATGAGTAACCTGAGTAGTTTAAGTAGGACCATCATTTGCATGATGAATTTCCCAAACCTTCAACATGAAAAGGAAGCTAGGTCAAGTTTGTAGACAGATTAAATAAGCTGCTTTGTATTTCAGAAAGTTCAAGAAGTGCTGCAGGAGCTGCAAGAGACATCATCTAATTGATAGTCTGAAGAAACAACAGGATTTTGCTGACCACCTCATTTGTACATAATTTGTACCTGTTAGGGAAAACCCTGATTCTGTTTTAGAAGTTTCTCTGAGCCTGTCTTCTATTAATACAGTTGTTAATCTCTATCTACTGCTTAGACAAATTTGAGGGTAGTCTTTGAAGCATAAGAAAAGTGATTTGCAATAGGATGTGTCTGAACTTCTCGTCCTTGATGGCAAGAACAGATTGTGTTAGTATTTCTAAGTGTCATTAGCTGTCTCAACAGATCTGCTTGAGAAATACTTCTGTCTGGATCTGATTTATGAACTTGAGAAGGTACTCGGTTAAGAACTATACTATTGGTTTTTTTCTTTCTGGAAGGAATACGAGAAAACTATTTACGATTCTCATTCTAGACTCAAATTCACAGCTAACTGGTCCTCTCCTCAATCTGCTAAAACCACAGGCTTGAAATTAAAGGTCCTTGGTATAAATAAAGCTTGTAGAACAAATTAAAATAGGAGGAAAGAGATCAGTCTTGTTTAAGTAATGACTGCATGTCTGGAGAGGTTTAACAAGACTGCAAGCAGAGATCATCAGGTCTTGGCAACAGTAGTCAGAGGATCTTAACTGTGAGACACTATCTAGACACAGATGACCTCCAGAACATGTCCAGATTTGGCAATTTTACGGAAGTACTCAGATAACGTAATACATATTTAAACCATTCAAACATTTCCTTCTTTCTTCTATCTGTGATACTGAGCAGCTCCCACCCACTTGACGTTGTAGACCGAGTGATTCAGATCTATTGGCTCTTGGTTGTGGAAAAATCTGCCTCAAGGTCAGTTGTGGTTCATACCACAGGCAGCCATCCTTTCTTCACTCTGCCTAACCTCAGCCTGCTTTTTTAAATGGACACAATATCCTTACTTTCAGCTGCATTTGGTTAAGGGTCTGCATAGAGTCATGTGCAAAGTATAAGCACCTCTGAATGCTCTGTGCATGCTGGAGCCTGTCTGTGAAAGCTGGCCCCTGTTGGGCCCAAGCAGAAAATAAAGGAGGTGGCTGTGACTCAAAAGCCAGAAATACTGGGAAATACTGAGAGAGCCTAGAGGAGTCTATTGCTTCCACACTGATGGTAATCCTTATGAACACCTTCCCACCTGGTGGAAAGCAGCAAATGGTAACAGCCCAGAAAATGCTTCAGGCGTGTCAGAATTTTGAGTTCTACTGTGTCCCTGAACGTCTTTCCTGAAACTGGAGGAGGTTTTTTTCCTGTCCCCCCCACCCCCTCCTCTGGGATGGTTTCCTGTACACAACAATCAGACTTTAGTAATTACAACTTTTCTTTTTCTTTTCTTTTCTGATTTACAAGCCCACATGAGGCCTTTTGCATTCATTATGCATGAACCAGTGTGTATCTGGGGACGCATAATGTTCCATCTTTCTTTTTGTCCTTGCACTGAACAGTTTTGTTTTTTAACAGAAATGCCTTTTTCCTTTTGAGAACTCTCAGAAATATGTTCCTCTAAGAGCTCCTACATGGTATGTATTTGCCATTTGTAAACACAGCATGTCAAAGAATGATTTGATTCAGTGGTGAGGCAGCCAGATATTTGCATGTCATGAGGTCTAAGGGAAACAAACTGACCCTCAGCCTTCCCCCATCCAGGCAAATTCTGATGGGACCCTCAAATAGCTCTGGCAAAGTGTTCTGTTTCTTTTGGACTTGATGGATGCTTGTTTCTGTGAAGACGTGTAATTATTTCTTCCTTTATTTTACTGCGCAAGTTACCGAGAGAAGCAGCTAAAAACTAAATGTGAGTATTGAGGCTTTTTTCCATTATTCCTTCATCTGATAAACTTTAAACTTGTTAGTATAGAAGGTACTTAATTTAATGCTTTGAGCAAGCATGCAGGAAGTTTTTCCTCAGAAAACTGCTGAATAAATTAGATGCAGACTTCCACATATATTATGTTTTTAATTTTGTGTACCTAAAGAGATAGAGGTTTTTTTTAAATTTAAATTAATTTTTTATTAATTCTTTCCATTGTAGTAATTGGCTCACTCACTAATTTGTGGAAAGATTGTCTGGGGTTTCCTTTCTAAAGAGATGAGGATGAGTTTTGTTTAACCCAAAGAACCATCCAACAAAAAATGTGTGCTTTTTCCCATTACATTTTTATCTCCTAACAAGATTTCATTTGCTTTTGCAAGAAAAAATTCTAGATAGTGTCTTTTCTGTTAAGTCACTTGTTTCTAGCATGAGTACTTTTAACACCTAATGTAGATTTTTCTTGATTTTGGAAGTAAAACATTTTCCGAGCTGGCTTTTATAAGAAGTCAAAATATTGCTGTAAACAATTATCATCTCCAAATTCTCCCTCCATAAGACATTTTGTGTTATCTTTTTTTTTAGGATCATAATTTTTTTGAATTTACATTTAGAAATTAAGTTTCAGATGCCTTTGTTTTTTGTTTGTGTTAATATTTTTCTTCTCTTTGTGCAACAAGTGGTTATTTGTACAGTAACAGAAGAAACTATAGTGGATTTGATACATTAACATTGTTACAGATTGCTGATGGTCAACCCATGTAATTTTACTGCGGGAAAGTCACTTTGACTCAAGGGTGTTTAACTGGTAGAATATTGAGATGACACTAACTAACTTGTAGGCTTAAAGAAAAATTAATTCAAAAGCTGCTTGAAAGAGATTCTGATGTATGCTCTCTCCAAATTATTTGCAGACAGCCATAATTATTAAAGCATGTATTTTTTGGTTGATATGGTAAGACATGTGTTCCATCAGCTCCGTACCGATAATCCCAGCTTTTTTCATTTCTTTTCCCTACCAGAATTTTATTTCTTGAAAGAACAGTTAAAAACTTTTAGTATTACCTAACTATGGACAGACAGAAAAAAATATTTTAATCAGCATGCTTCCAAACATCAAGCTCAAAACCAGAGGGTGAAACTCCAAACCTGTTGGAAGGCGCAGCCCTCCTGCTGACTCAAGCTCTAGGTGTTGTCAAGGCTTTTAGATCGCCTGGAGAGTAAATCCAAGTGGAGTTTTACTCCACACTTCCCTGCCAATTTAGGGTAAATGATGCTCATAAATTAATCATTTCTAGTTCAACTCTTCTATTAAAATCTCTAGAGCCCTAAGTTTGGAAGCTGGTGTAGTGAAATGCTGCTGATGCTCCACTTGGGCTGCTGCAGCTAAATTCATTCTTTTGGGAATGGGGCATGCAGCTCTTATGAGAAAGGAGGCTGTGAGCTCCTTGTTTCATACATTTGTGTTTTCCTGTAAAATGTCAGAGGGATCAAGTAAGGACATTTCTGTGGAAATATGCAAACATGACTCCAAGGAAACAAATTAATAAAACCTCGTGACAAAAATTCTGTAGCAGAGATAAAGGGAAGGACAGGACTCACAAACGGAAGCTACACTGCCTTGGTTCCTTCACAATGATGGCTAAGTTTAATTTCTGCTAGAAGTCACCCTGGAGAGGAGTTTATATCTGTTCTTTAGCTAAAAAGGGTGCCTTACTCATTAGCTTCCCCAGGTTTAAGCTAGTTTTTTTTAATATCCCCATTCCCTGTTGCCATATAGTACGTGTCAGCTATCGTCCCTACTTTTTCCCCTTTCTTAAACTTAAGAAGTTTTTTTAATTCAACTTTACTTGTGCTAGTATGCTACTTTTCTTCCCAGCTGTGGTTGCCTTTGAATTTGTTCAAGGTCCATGTAAGAGGACTGGTTAATTCTTGCACATCTCAGCGTAGTGTGGATAATGCATCTGAACAGGCTGTCCTAGCTGGTTGCTGGCCTCACACTTGAGAGGCTTTATCAGTCAGAAAAATGTTAATCTTCCTGTAATGTGTCTTTGTGCATAGGTAGCAGAATTAATAGCAAGAATGGCCAAGTGCCAGAGGATGGTGTAGTTGTTGACAGAACATTTTGCATAAGAATATTCATCATAACCTCAGGGTCATAAAGGACAACCGCAAAGTGCGCAACTGGAACATTTTATTACTTTGGCTAAATTTGGAAGTGTTTTCTACCTCTAGCACTGGGAACCGACCAGTTGGCAACCTTTGCACACTGCTTTTAACTATCCCAGGCCAGTGCCATGGATACAGCCTGATGAACCGACCCATCTCATGGCAAAGGTGCAGTGAATGGCTTCTTTTGTTCCCACTCACAAAGGTTTGCTCTCTGACCTTGAGGAATTCAATTACTTTGCTTTGACAAGTATTAATCTTTTCTGAAGAAAAGTAACTCACAAATGTGTTTTAGGATTACTTTATTACTGTTGTTAGAAAAGCATTCTGAAACCTTTGAAAGGAAAGCTGTAAAATACCTCAGAGGTTTAGGTTTAATTCTATTTGTCAGAAGCTCATAACAGTATTGGGCTTAAACTTGCTATCAAGTTCAGTCTTTCTCAAGAGTTCTTCAGGTTTGTAATTCAGCCACATCATGATTCATTTATATACTAAAATGTGCAAAACTGTGGCATAATTAGAGTTCAAAAATCTGACTTGCATGGGAAAAAATGTTTAGAGTAATAACTATTTCATGCTGGTCTTCCATTGGCAATCTTTGTTTAGTTTAGTGCTTGAAAGTTAAAGAGCATTGAGAAATGTTTCAAATTAAAAGCTCAAACAGTCTGGGTTTGTTGGATTTTTTAAAAATACAGTAGCAAATTCTTAATTTGTTTGATCACATGCTTAGATTTTTCACTGAAAACTTTTAATAAATTTTACATAAATTAGCAGAAAGGCTTTGGATTGTATTTTTGCTTGGTGCAGTTTCTGCCACTGTGTTGCACTCTCCCCCTCCTCAGATAAACCTTTTTCACCACAGCTGGTCAGGATTATGGTCTCTGAGCACCATCCTCTACCAAAATCAATCAAATCCATTCGAGGTTTGCAAAGGTGGTTGTTGCTACACTCTTCACATTGTCACTAGAATAAGTCCACATCAACCAGACTCTGCTGGTATCAGTGGGCTCACTGTTCCACAATATCCTTGAGTTAAATTATGTGTTCTTAAAATGTTCCTTAATGTTAGAAAGGAATTTCTTCATTCTTACCAAATTTCCTCCAGCATTCTAAGATTTAGTGGTGGGTTTTATTTGTCTGAAGCAAATGTTGACTGTCTTGGGTGTTCAGATAAACTTTAGCCTTAATTTTTCTTCAATCAGATAAGGTCAATCCTACACTGGAACCAATTTTTAGATAGTGTGTATTTATAATCATAGAAAGAAATTCACTCTGAAGTCATGGTGCCAAAAACAAAACAACAACAACAAAAAAGACTTTTTCACATATCAGGACATTACAAAAATCCCAGCAGGGCAGTTACTGAAGGGTCAGTAACCTCACATCATAATAAAGAAAGATGGTCTACTAATTTTAACTCATAGCCACTTCTAGACTATTTTAAGTAGAAAATGTTTAATGTGTGGTGCAGAGACTTTAAGGCTTGAGGGAAATGCTAGGATACCCAGTCACAGTCACATAATTGTTCTGCAGATTTTATCTCGCAAAAAGGCAGAACAGGTAATGTAAGAGCCACAAAGGCTTCAAGCAGGGGGCAAACGTCACTGGTGGGAACCCAGGGCTGAATCTCTGTAAGGAAGGGTCATTGTTGCTGCCACAGGATGTGAGGGATCAAGTTAAACCTGAGTCAATGCCGTGTTATCCCCTGTCTTGTTTGACAGCACATTATCTACTCCACTGCTCAAGACTCCAGAGGTCTTTAAGCAACATTTTTTGCCTGCTTAATGGATGACGCACAAAGCCACATATTTAAAGAGCAAAAATAGGAAAACCACCAACATTTTTTTCCTATATTTGTTCTAGTGACACTGTTACTTTTCCTCCCTGGTAGAGGACAAACAAAAAGCCACTTGATGCTCTTTTTTCTACCAGCCCCACTCCTAAAAGGGTTCTCCTAAAAATGTTCTCTGCCTTTAAAATTCCTTTTGTGAGACCAATTCTAAGCGTGTTTTTACATTGTGAGTACACATATATCCTTTGATTGTGCTAGAATGAAATGTGCTGGATAACTATCAACAGTGAATGTAGGATGTGATGTAAAAGAATGTGTATATCTGAATATTTAATATTTTTCCCTAGCCCAAAAGGTAGCAGCCTGTCCCTGATGCACCTACGTAGATAAACTAATAAGGCTTTCCTGTCCACAGTGTGTTTAAGGCACCCAGGGCAGGAAATAAAAGGAAAGTCACCCTGCTATAATTCCACATCACTGGTGGTAAGCACACACAGCTGAATTGCACTATTTTGTAACTGCAACCATAGTGCAGATGCTGAGACTTCATAACAGAATTGTGCATAGCACTGCCCAATAGATAATAGCACACCAACCCTAAACTGCAAAATTAAACTCTAATGCAGAAAATATTAAATCGCCTGATTTGATATCCGTGAATAGAGATAAATTATTCAGTTACATAAATTTGCACATAGATGTCAGTGTTCAAAGTGATCTGTTTTAAGAGAAGACACAGCAAGTGGTCATGTAACACTTAGAGGGAAGTAGAAGGAAGGGAAATAAGTCTGTTAAAGAGTACCCACAGCATATTTTCATGTTGGTTGTTTGTTGTGAGCTCCCCTAGAAACCTTTCTCACCATCTGTCTCAGTTATATCATATAACCAGTTCATTACTGTAAAAATGGTACAATACAAAGAGTGACACTTCTTTCAGATTTTCTTACCAGCTTATATGCTTCATGGTCTGTCTACCCAGAAGATGCAATATCTGCATATGTATTTTAATATGCTTCTGCTGTTATTATTATATCTCTGTATTCCAAAAACAATGCAACTGCAGAGCATCATTAATGCTAAATATCATAACCATACCTACTGTGTTAATTGTCATCAAAAATCCAGAGTCCATTGGTAGAGATCAGGCTGTTTCTAGCTGTCTTCAATGTTTCTGCCTACCCTTTCTCTCCTTGTTGCCCAGAGAAGCTGTGGATGTTCCACCCCTGACAGTGTGGATGGGGCCAGGCAGGATGGGGCTCTGAGCAGCCTGGTCTCCTGGGAGGAGTCCCTGTCCATGGCAGGGAGGTAGGAAATAGGTGATCTTTAAGGTCCCTTCCAACCCAAACCATTCCATTATTACTTGATCCTGCCTCTTGGAATTGCCCATCTTGAAGCCTGTTTTCCCAAGGGATGGATTGGAGAGTGACACTGCAGTGGTCACCCCAAATATCTCACATATCATGGGAAGACATTTGCAGGGCTACATTGGCAGTGGCCAGCATTTCTTAGACTGTACAGCAGTGGCTTTACAAACAGTGATTTCTGTTGGTGTAACAAGCAGCCTAGGGCTTCTCTGCAGAGCCACATCACCCCTATTTTCAGAGATGAGCTTGCTGAGAAGCTGGCAGCCAAGCCCGAGGGAGCACTGCAAGCAGCAAAACTGGCCTATGGAATATTTGGCCTACAAACCAAAATACCTGGAAACAATGATACTTGAAGTAGGGATCTTGCATACCAATACTACTGACAACAGCCTTTGCTTTTCCTAAGCTGTAATGCCATCTAACTCATCACAATCCCTTAACAAGGCTGAGACTAGAACATTTTAGATTTGCTTCATTTTGATAAGGTGTCATCGTTTTATTAAAAGAGCGCTGTGTCTCAGTTTATCTTTTTTCTCAGGAAATTAGGTCAGGTTGGCATAGCACAGCTGGAGATAAGAGGAAAAACCACTGCAGCAGATGCTTGATTATCATTTGGGGGATTTATGTTTGGGGGAAGCAAGTATTTCTTTTTTTAAATTGGGTAATGAAAATCCTTTCCAATTTTAGCTTGTTGCTAACAATGCTGCTGATGATGGTCTTTATATTTTTGTTAATTTTATTTCTAAAAGCAGTTCTAAGTAGGTCACAGGTTTTTAAATAACCCTTCTAGAAAAAGCTGTGCTGTGTAGACAGTTGTAGTTATTTTTTTAAAAAAATTATTGTAATTCATGTCATGCACCCCTTCTGACACAACAGAGTAATCTTCACCACCTTGCTGTTCCTGATATAAAACTTAAGGGTAGGGAAATCTTGTCTCTACAGCTAGGATATCTGCAAAGATGAGAAATTACATATTTTTTTCGTTAAGACCCTAAAGATTACTATCAGAATCAGCATTCCCTATTGAAGTTCTGTTACTTCTTGTTAGTGGCAAGACTCTTTTGATCAGTGACCTCTGGGCACTCCACTCACCCTTGTACAACAGGCATCATTTCTTGTAAGTACGAAGTATTTCTTGTTTTCCCTGGAAAGATTTCAGTCCCTGAGGCAGGCTTGTGTCACTTCCAGGGAGGTGTGTCCCTGCCAGGTGCTGTCAGTGTATGGCTGAGATGCTGCTGTTTCCTTGGAGCACTTCTGCCCACCTGTGCAGGCATTTTGTGCAGATGCAGAGGTGGTTCCAAAATGCTCCCCTGATGCTGCCCCCCACCAGTATCCAAAGGGGGCCTAGAGCAAGCTGGAGAGGGACTCTTCATCAGGAACTGTAGTGATAGAACAAGGAGTAATCTTTCAGTGTGTTTATTTATTAAACAATTTATTAGACACGTTAGGAAGAAATTCTTCACTGTGAGGGTGGTGAGGCACTGGAACAGGTTGCACAGAGGAATTATGCCCCATCCCTGGAAGTTTTCATAGCCAGATTGGATGGGGCATTGAGCAACCTGGTCTAGTGGGAAGTGCCTCTGCCCATGCCATTGGAATTGGTACCAGATGATGCTTAACATTCCTTCCAACCCTTAAAATTCTCTGAGTCTATGATTTGCACATTAGGAGTGAACTCACTGGTGGAAGTCTCAGATCAGGACTTCAGTGCATGTCTTCATTTGACATTTCCACTTTCTGTTTATTTAAACACTTTTTGAAGTATCATTCATAATTCCCTAATCATGGATTGTAGGTGAGTGTCAAGGCAAGACAGAGTACTTGGAAAAAAAAGCATTTACAAGAGACCAATTTTGTTGTTATGAGAATGCCCCCACTCCTGTTCCAGTGCCCATAAAAGAATACTGAGGGTTTTTGGATACTTTTGCCGTCCCTCTTTTGCCATTCAGCAGTGATAAATTTTCTGTGGTCCATCACATATTCACCTTGCAACTCTCCCTGCTGAACCTCATGAGCGTTCTGTCATCCCACTCCTCCGGTTATGGGGAGGTCCCTCTGGATAGCAGCACATCCATGTGGTGCATCAGCCTCTCCTCCCACTGCCAGTGGTGCTACTCTGTCCCATCTAACTCACCAGTTAATTTGAGTATTCTTTATCAGATGAGCCCTTTGTAACAGATGCAATCCTCAAACCTGTGTTCTGGTTCAATATGGGAGTACAACTAAGAATACTGACAGGATTTTACATTGAAAGTTACAACAGCTGAATTATTTCATCACTTCATTTTATTCATACATTTGACAGTAGTCAGAAAGGAATGAGCTCCATAATGACACAGGAGAAAACTCTGGCTCTACCAGACTGTGTGAAAACCTGTAAAAAATGTGGGTAAGAATTATTTCAGGAAAAAAAAAAGGAAGAATTTAGATGACTACACCGTTTGAGTTTGTATGGTGTAAACAAAGCAGACAGCAATACCAATTAAGGAAAAAATTACAAAATTCCTGAGATGCTTGATTCCCTAGTTAAGCCATAGCTCTTGCCCTTTTTGCTTGTAGTCAGGGGTGTGTAAACACAGTACAATTCAGTACAAATTACCAGACCAACATCTAAAATATCTGCTTTGCCTTGACACCCCACCAAAACAGTGTCACTTGTGGCATCCATCCTGGCTGCTTACAGGAGAATTTCAACAGTGAGAGCTCTGCACTCACTCAGAGGTTTCCAGGACCTGATGCTGTATTGCTGTCCCGTGCCACAGAGATTTGATAGTTCAGAGTTAGTATCTGTGTCTTCTTTCCTGTAGATTCTTGGCTTGACTTGATCTGTAATACATGCCCCCAGTTCCTATTGCTTCTCTAGCCATTTTTAGAAAAGCAAATATTACAGAACCTTTAATATATGTAAATGCATGAGACAAAAATAGAAATAGGGAAAATGAAGTCAGAAAATTCATGCAAATAAGGCAAATAGCATTAGAAGATTAAAACATGCACTTACCTGAAAATGAACAATGCCTACGGCAGCTTGCAGGGGTGTCCTCATCATACGATATCAAATTGTTTTTCTTATCCTTCAGTGCTGTTCAAAGGATTTTTTTCCCATCTATTTTTTTCTTTATGCCTCTCTAAGAAGAAGCCTTTTTCCAATAACTGCACGGTCTTAAAGAAAAAAATGATGAAGTTCAATGGCAGGTATATTTAGATTGAGAAATAGTCCATTAGAATTTCTACAAAGTGAAAGATAGAACATTTTTATCTTTATGTACATATCTACATCCATATGTATATACTAATTAATTTCTGAGTAGTATGAATGGCTCTGGGCTTTTTTGATTTTGTTTGTGTGAGGGAGATTAACATATATTTATAGAAAACATCAAGATTAATTATTGAAACATATATTAACCTTCTGGCTCTGCTTTTTAGCTCCAGTGAGGAAAAAAACATTCTTTTCCTGATGGTTCCATGTCTATCAGGATTCACAACTTCACAACCATGTTCTTACAGCTTTCTTCACTAGAAGTCTTCTAGTGCTCTGCATTTTATGGGAAATAATTTGACTCTCCAGAAAGTCCCTGTCCTAATTTGTTGTAGCTAAATTCTATCTTAATCTGCTTTAATAGCAGGCTGACTAGCCAGCTCTCTTTTCTGTATTTTCATCTCTTTTATCATTCAGTCCATGAAACTGCTGCATTCTCAAATCTGACCCCAGGGACTCCAGTTACAATATCCTCACATCCTTGGCAACATCTCTCTGCACCTCCTTGGAATATTCTTAACATTAAAAATGATACCTCATATCCCTGCCGACCAGGTACATAAAAATCAACAGTATTTAGCTTCCTATTTAAGATGTTCCAATTTAAATAATAAAATCATCTTTTCCCAAGGAATGGCAACATTGCAGTCTTTCCCTGTGCCTAGGACTCGAGCTAGCAACTGGAATGCTGGAGTCAGCGTTTCATTCCATGAGAGTGAATAGCATCAGATCTCCAGAGATTTCTTAGCTGACCTTCAAAACACAAAGTCTAGCTTCCAGCAAACTTAAAGTAAACATATTTCTCTAGAGATTAGGATCAAAGCACAAGAAAAACATTCTACTTCACTGCGTGGCGCTCGTACCATTACTTATTTATTGGAGCAAGGATAAGTGGTGCTGGGAGAGACGAGATTCACTTTTTTTGTTCATTTTCTAATGGTAAAAGTAGTTCTCAAAGGTTACCCATACTTTTTGCCAAAAGAATTGCAAAAAATCTTCATTCTTTTGCTCACCATTGCTGCTTCATTCCCAAACATGGTCTTTTATGATGATTCAAACTCTGAAGACTGTCTGAAGAGAAGTTTTGGGCAACTTTTGAGCATTTTTCTAGAGAAGCAGGCCAAGGACACCCTCAGACTTTGTCTTGGGGGTACTGTGTTAAGTTCTCAAGCAACAACTCTCATCTGTAGAATAGAAGCACTTTGCTCCCATATCCATATAGGAGTTTAGGAGGATAATTACATTGCAAATTCAGTAGTTCTGAAGTATCACAGTAGTGGATCTTGTTTGTGCACACAGCCTGGGCTTCCTGGATCAGACTGACTTCCTGGGGGGAAAAAAAGCAATAATCAAGAGAACTGCTTTTTACAGAAAATTACTTGGAAGGCAGAGTTTTTGATAACTTAAAAACCCGATTGACATTCATTAGAATGAAAAACAGAGATGTTTCTACAGATATTTGTTGGAGAGCTTTGTGCAACAAAAATGCTCTATAAGTAACAAAACTTTTCATGAATACCCTGTTTGGATTTTGCTGTTGCCACTTTTAGGCCGAGATGAAACTCTGTCAGGAATCAGGAGTACTGATGCAGCAGGGAGGGCATCAGAAAGGTGGTTCACTCGGGGTTATCCTCCAAGGCAGTTCATTACTTTAATTCCCACTAAAAAAATAAATGAAAATCCTCTGAAACCCAGTTTCAAGCCTGTCCTGTGATCTTGACTATGGAGCACAGTTAACCACAAACACTCCTTGACAGTGTCCTTAGACACCAGTTTATACTTCTTCCCCCACAAAGAGCAAAATGCGCAAAACTTAACCTTGACTTTGGTCATGACTGTGATTGTGCATTAAATGCACTGAGCTCTGCCTGGTTTTATGTCATGTTCTGTAAATGTACAAGCTGATGGATGCAATTTTCTCATATAAATGGGTTTATTTGCTACACATTCAAATCTCTGTTTGATCTTAAGGAAATGGAAGTCCTGATTCAAACCCTGTTATATTATTTTTCCAAGGATATCACATAAAACACATCAGAAATATTTTTAAGAAAGCATGTTTCCCACTGATCTGGGTTCCAGATTGCTTTATTTCCTTACTACAACCTGTCTTGGCTGACAGGGTGTAGTAATATTAGGGGTAGTAAGAAATAAATATATCAATTCAACTCTAAAGATTTTCAATTTACAGGAGCAACAAGTTTTCCAATCAAGTCATTACTTTTGGTCTGAAATTAGTATGACAGCCTTGCTCCCAGTCCCCTTTCCACTGTTTTACTACTACACCTCCCAGAAGAGATTAATTAATAAATGCCTGAACTTATGCACAGGTGCCAGTGGAAACCTGCAGTAATTGTTTTTTTTTCTCACAGCTCAAACAACCATTTTGGTTTAGAGCTTACTGAAGCAAAAACCCAGGAAAAAGATTTTATGCCTTTTTAAAGCTGAACCACGGGTATAAGACAGTTGAGTGCATTAAAAAAAAGTATGAGGGTGTAACTCTAGATGGAGGCTTTGTCATGGCTAAGAACTCCCTCAAATATTGTCTTCTGTTTGTTCTTCCTTACTCTCAGGCTATGCATCTGGTTAAGAGGAACTAATTTGCCCTGTTTTTCAAAGTGCAAAAATTTCAGCTGCCCAAAGTCAATGATACGTGAGAGATATTTTAGGATATTTTAGGAGACCTTCCCCAGTCATTTTCAACTCCTCTAAAATTCATGATTGCTGGTGCTGGCTACAGCTACACCCTTTGAGTTTAATGAGGAGTGCAACCCAACGAGCCCAGCAGATGTTTTTGGGGTTGCTTCACTATGAACTTTTTGGTTTCTTCTTCCATCATTTCCAAGAATCAAGACCCAATTTTAGCAAAGTGATGATGATCCAACCAGCAATAAGAAGACTGAAATAGGTCTTCATCTCCACAATCCTTAAAACACTCACTATTGCAGATCTATAAGCAGCTGAGTTTTGGATGCTTGTCCAAGCCTCTTTAGCCTGAAAAGCTGAAGGATGGGAAATTCATACAACTGATTCTCAATAGATTTGTGGTATTTCCTGCACTCGTCTCGCACAGAAATATAAACTATTTCACATTATTTTGGTACTGCCAATGTGGAATCCAATATAGAAATAAAGAAATATGTAAGGAAAAACAATCTTTTCCAATAACAACAAGGAAAACTTTCTTTGAGTTCTGATTTTGCTCGACTTATTATTTAGTCTATTTTTCTTTATATTTCACTCTAGTGCTCTCCAGAGGTATTTGTGTGACCTTACAAAGCCACCAAATATTAGCAGCACAGTTGGGATAATGCAAAAAACAGTCATATATCCTGGAGTCCCTTGTCTTCCTCACATTGGGTCAGGTGGATGTGGGGGTATTTTGAAAAGAAAGGAAGGAGCAGAAGGACAGGAGTATTAAGAGAAAGTCAGGAACACACTACAAAGTGCCTGCCTCTTCTCTTTGGCCTTTTAACTCCTCAGTTGGTTTCATTTCTGAAGTATTGCTTTTATCTCCATTACCCAATTGCTGGATGAACCACATCTCAGAATCCAGTACATAATGCTCATAATGCCAGCAGTTTTACGTAGAGAATGTGAAGTTGGCTTCATTTTCAGGTGTGTGACCTGAAATAGTGTTAGAATAAGCTGAAGCAGCCCTCTTGCTCCCCATCATGTAGGTGATACAACTCACAATGTATATTGTTAAAGGCTACCATTTTATTGTTGAACAAGCCAGCATTAAGAAATCCAGGGCACTGCAAATGACCAGGAAATGCCTGTCCAACTTTCACAGGTAATGCAGTGTTACTTAGTCTTTGAGCAAGCACCATGCACTGAATTGCCCAATTTTCCCCTCTTTTGCAGAGCACGTGGAGGGCCCCAGCAGGATGACCAGCAGCCACACAGATTGCCATTTCTGCCTGCAGCCTCTCCGTGGCAGGAAATATGCACTCAGAGATGAGAATGCTTACTGTGTCCCGTGCTATGACAGCCTGTATGCCAACCCCTGCGAAGAGTGCAAGCAACCCATTGAGTGCAGCTCCAAGGTAAAGATTCAGCTTGCACTTTTTGGTCCTTGTTAAGTTATACACAAATCCAATTTCTTTAGTGGTAGATGTGATACCCACCCCTTTGCATATCCCTGTATCACTGAAGAGACTTAAGCATAGCTGTTGTACATCCACACACAGCAGGGGGAAACAGTGCTATTTTCCCTGAATAGGAAAGCTCTGGGGTCAAAGATGAGGAAATCTGCACACACATATACCCACGCATACAGCAAGGCTGTGTGGACCTCAGCTGGGCTCCATCCTTCACCTCCAGCCATCCACTGGCTGCAGAGGCTGAACACTGCTGGGGGGGTGATGCGGTGGGTGGTGTAATTCAGTTTATCAGGTTGATTGACACCTTGGAATTTCTGAGACGTGTTCATTGAAAAAATATTTTGAGCATTGAATAAATTACTTTTACTGTAGGTGTTGACAAGCAGATGCCAAGCTGAGAAGACAACATGTTTATAGTTTGCATATTCTCTCTCTCTCTTTTGGAAATTAGGGGTTTTTTTTATTTCTGCTTAATTCCATGCTTACCTTGCTCATCTCACAGACGGTGTATTAGTGGCAGTTTTCTGACCTTGTCTTTCCTTTTACCTCTCAATTTTTTACAATATTAATTAATAATTCAGGTCCCTCTGTGGTCTTTGACAGGGTTTCTAGTACCCCATACTTTAATTTAGAGGACGTATACTTGACATTGAATTTTAAGGTCAAATGAAACCTATCAAAAAGCACTTGTTTTGCCAAGTCCAGTGTGTACTGGCCACCTTCTCCCCATTCTCTCTTTGCCTATGTTCCTTAGAAATAAAAGGACAGAAAGATATTAAAATAAACCTCTGGGAAGGTTTTCCCAGCCCAAGCACTTCAAGGCACACAGTCTGCATATAGGAATCATCCAAGGGAAATGCTGATTTGGATGAAGACACTCCTCAAAATCTCATCAGCATTTCACCCACACCAACGTTGAATTCATAGCACCAGTCAGATTCACCAGAACACATGCTTTGAGTTCACTTAATTTCACCTTTAAAACCAAAAATTAAATCAGTGACAGGATTACTATTGAAGATCATAAACAAAAAGCCATGTCTTTGGACTGAGTGGAAGGAAAAAATAGGAGAAAAAAGCAGACAGAAAGGAGTGCACCTGGCTAGAGACATCTAGAAAAGTGGCACACAGAGATCTACAGCTGATTGTCTCATCTCTGCCAAGGGGCTAGAGCTTGGTTTTCTTCCTCTCCTCCTCACCCAGTCCTTGCCTTGGGCTGCTCTGGGCTGACAGCCTAGTTCCTGCAAGGTTCAGAGTGCTAACTAAAGCAAATGAAAATGCTAAGTGCTCAGCACCTAATGAAACAAAGCATGGTATTTCTTTTATTTTTAGCTCTTTAAAAGGCAGGAACATGATCAGGGAGAACAATGAGATTGGACTTGTGCCCTTCTGTATTTCTTACTTATAAAAGAACCCTGGAAGGGTTTATTTTTTAAGCTGGGAAGGTTTTTTGGAGGTGCATTTTTCCCCTGCTTTTCTAATTGTGGGAAAATTAAATCTGCTGTTTGGCTTTTTTTCAAATTCTTAGTCAGGATCTCATACATATATATATTGTTAGCTCTTTCATCCCTTAAACCCACTGACTCTTAAACTTTTTCCTGTCAAGTTTTCAGGAGGATTTATATCAGATGTAAACAAAAGCAATTACTTTTTTTTTTTTTAATATTGCTAATAGTCATTTTGTTCTCAATGAGATTTTAATTGCTTGTTTTCTGACAACTATTAGAATGATGTCATGTCAGCTGGAAGAAGAAATAGTAACATTGAAAATACATAAGGTTCACTTCAAATTCTATAGAATATGGGCTTCTTCTCCAGTGGTCTGTGCACATTAAAAATGTTGATCACTTGTTTCTACTTGAAAGACAACTGTAATATATAACATGATTCTTCCAGTAAAAACATACCTCTGTGTTACATAAGGAAGGACATTCTGCCAAAGCAGCTCCTAATGGCCTCTGCAAGAGATCTACACAACAGTCACAATGTCACAACAGTGACATTGGGCACCTGCACCTTTCCTGAGCACACTTCTTGTTGGATCCGCCACTGCAATGCTCTTCCTTTTTTGTTTTAGTTCTGGAAGGAACTGAAGGATAAAAGCACTGTAAATAAATGTTTTCACTAACATGAACTTATTTTCTCCAAGGATCTGGCCTACAAAGGCCGCCACTGGCATGAGGGGTGCTTCAGGTGTGCCAAGTGCAGTCGCTCACTCGTGGA